TTTGTCTTTAATCCTAATTCAAGGTTTAAAGAGAGGGATTAATTTAGAATTAAAGACAAAATAAAATGGATCATATCATATTTTTTAATGGGTCGGGTTAGGTGGATGGATCTTTTAATTTATTTTTTAAAATTTTTGATTTGTTATATAAATAATTAATATCAATAATTTTTAATTAAAAAATAAAAATTGAAAATTGAGTGACCATCTGAGGTATTAACTCCAACATTAAGCAGTGAAATATATTATGTGTTTTCCACTTCTCCGTAGCCATTTTTCCAGCATACGCACCAATTCAATATGCAAAGTCTTTTTTTATTTATTTATTTACTAATAAGAGAAGCTAACAAATTAAAGTTCTTTACAAAGAGAAGTGCATTCCATTTCAAGTAAAGTTGTGTCTAAGCTTGAATATTATTCTGTAAAAGATTTTTTCTAAGAATAGAACAAAACTTTTAGTAATTAAAAAAAATTCTTGATTATATCAATTTCTACCACTAATTAACTGAGGTCCCGTTAATAGTCACTATGAAACATATAAATAATTATTATTGGAGACAAAAGGAATAAGTATATCGTGTCATTACACATCATGACCAATTAAATTGATTTCCAAATGGATTTATTGATAAATTATATTACATATTTTGGAATAATTGAGAGTAGAGTGAATTTATTAATCAAAGTAGAAATTCCTAAACCAAGAACATCATATTTCTTCAATTTCATGCTTGAATTTCATGTTTGGAGCTAGAAATTCGAAGTTGATTGTTTTTATTTTACTTCAATCCAATTTTCAGTTGAGTTGAATATAATTTAAATGTATACACTAATAACAACAATATCGTATATATCTATTATCTAATATTATTTTACAAGTAGAAATAAAAAAAAATAGAATGCAATAAACCTTTATGTCTATTAAAGCGGGGTGTGTGGTGAGACTTTTTATGCCGTATGGGACAAGACCTAAACCCCGTAACATAGAGAATAAGAAATTCTTGTTTTTAGAAATCCATATTTTTAAAATTTTAAATGTAATAATTCAGTACATTAATTAGTATTAAATTAATTTGCAAATTATAACTAGTTTATAAAATTATAATTAGCTTTAAATTATTTTTGAGTTTGTAATTTTCATTTTCTTAAATTTTGGTTTATTATTTACAATAGTTTTAATTATGGAGTTTTTATAAGAAAGAAGAAAATTCTTAGTCAGTGACCTATATTTTAGGAATCCACTACTGCCCACTTCTCTCAGTAACTTAATCTGTACCTTTTTTTTTCTTTTTATTTAATTTTAATATTTTTCTCTATTTTTTAAAATGTAAAATATTTTTCTTTCCCTGCAGTTTCAATATTTTGTCTTCTTTTAGTGTAAAATTATTTCGCTAATATGTCGTACTTTCACTTTTTCTATTATATATAAGTAGATTATCAAAGATATCTGTTGTAACGAATTTTATCGATCGATTAGTGAAGATGAACTAAGAGCAGCATCGTATAAAGCCCCAATGCAAAAATCACAGTGAGAACCACTATTCCCCATGACCTGCACCAATTAGTATAAAATTATACATCTATAATAAGTTGGATGATTGAATACATCAAATTTCTGGAATTACTTTTTTATTTATCGCTTTATTTTTACATAACATCTATGACATATATGTTTAATATTATACAGTAAAAAACAAGTCATTTTAATTTTCAAAGCAAATAAATTTATTTTTTTCGTTTCACAAAGAATGACCTGATGACTTGGCACGGATTTTAAGAATATAAAATAGATTTTTCAATCTTGTGATCCTAAATTAAAGTTAGCTCAAATGTACAGGCCTTAAACATGTCATGTGAAAAACTGAATTAGATGTTACCAGAAAAAGAAAGAGGTCATTCTTTTTGAAATATATTAAAAAGGAAAGAAGATCATCCTTTTTTAAACGGAGAAAGTATTATGCATGTTATACGTAGGTTATTTGTATACATCAAAAGCATGAAAAAGGAGATTAATTAAAGATTCAAAAATACTGCAATTTCTTTAAACAGACGACTTACTTTATAGGGTCAATACATTAAAATTACAATCTGTTTACTCTTGGATTAAAGGCGTTTAAAAATTGAATCGAAAATCGATAATTCAAATTGAAAAAAAGTTATTAACTTATTAGTATTGAGTTATTGATTTAGCGGTTTTGATTTTTTTGTTATCGGATTATCAGTTCTTAACGGTTTAAAGTTTTTTATTAACGGGTTAATGAATAGTAAATTATAGGGAAAATTATGCGGTTGAGCAAACTTATACTACTTAATACTCATCATAACTATAGTTTGATATAGTTACCATTTGCGACTAACATTAAACATTAATTATGTGAGCTGACTTCGAGTTTGTATAATTAGTCACGTTTGTATATGTATAATTCGCTAGAATATACAAATACATATGTAAAATATATAATTATCTAATCGATATAATATACAATTTGTTTCTCTCCCTCTCTTTGACCTCTCTCGCTCGCCTCTCTCCCCCCTCTCACAATTTCGCTCGCATTTCTTCTCCATCTCCCAATCTCTCTTTCTATATGTACAAATGCATATGTATAATATACAATTATCTAACTGATATACATTACAATTTACCTCTCTCCCACTCTCTACCCTCTCTCGCCCGCCTCTCTCCCAGTCTCGCTTGCCTCTGTCCCCCTCTCCCAATCTCGCTCGTCTTTCTCCTCCCCTCCCAATCTCTCTGTCATACATACAAATACATATGTATAATATATAATTATCTAACCGATATACAATTCACCTATCTCCCACTCTTCGTCCTCTCTCTCGCCTCTCTCCTCTCTCTCCCCCAGTCTCGCTCCTCTCTCTCTCTCCCAGTCTCACTTGCCCCTCTCCTCTCTATAACATGTGTTTCGAGATAGTTTTCTGAAAATATTTATATGTTTTTGTATGTTTTTGACTTTTTTAGAGTCGCTACTTAATTCTTAAGAAAAATCAAGAAAATTATATTTTCAAAAGACTTAAACAGAAAAATCCTTTTGAAAACTTTGAAGGGGTTCGGGGAGTCCTATTTATATTTTAGAAAGGTTTTTACGGCACCTAAAATATTTGGTAACTCGAAATTTTTCGACAACTAACTTTTTGGCTAAAATGATTTAACTTAAGTTTGTTTTGAATTGAAAATCTATTTAGAATTTTATTAAAAAGTGAAACATTAGCCTATCTTCTATATTTTAACTCGCAAAATTTATTTAAGTCATTTTTTATAAGTCTTTTAAAGTCGATCGATTTTCAACCGTTAGAATAATAGTGGTGGCTTGCGGGGGATTGTGAACTTTTTTTAACCCTAAAACTAACGGCAATTAATAACAAATAAGTAAGAGAGAGAGAGAGAAAGAGAGTGAGAGAGAGAGCTGGGTCCAAATTCGACTCTGATTCGAGAACAAGCTCTCTTTCGCTCACTTCCTGTTGCTCCTGCTAATGCTATTGCTACCTCCTCCTTTGCTCCTTCGATACGTGCCTGGTCGAAATCTGTCCGCCTGTACCGGTATTAGGACCCATTTTTTTATTTTTAGGCCTTAGGCCTCATTTCAATCGTACTTGTCCTAAACTAGCAAATTATTAACAATACGAAAGGCTTAGGCCCAAAAAATAACAAAATACAATATTCTAAAAATAAAAAGTAGGATTTTTGGTCTCGACTTCTTTAACTTTGCCACTTCGATTTCTTTCACTTTGGGAGTTGTACGTCGATTTTATGAAATTGTGCTCCAATGGAAAGAACTTGAGCCTTTGTGGCTCCCTCGAAATACAAAGGAAAGGAGAAGTCCATCAAGACTCGGAGGGGAGTGATTCATATAAAAGAAAAGGAAAACAAAATTAATACAAGCTCATAGTCCTAAACATAATAAAATAATTGTATACAATATAAATTAAGCATGAAACTAATTTTCTTCGCACAAAGATTTAGCAGATTAGTCTATTTACTGCTCACGTTTCAAGTGATAATAAATGATTTAAAATCTTATCAAGATTAACATATAGAATATGAGATAGAATTCAGCCTTACACCAACTTGAACTAACAAACAAAAGGGTCTTTTGAATGTAGACTGTTAAATCAAAAGGTGTGAGCCTGCTATATTCCCGGGAACACATACATTAACCAAACGGTACCCAAATTATTAAGAGCGAACTTGCTGCACAATTTTTAAATAAGCCATCTCAACCGTAATCGAAATTTAGCATTAACAAAAGGAAATTAAGACTGTCAATTTCTCATCTTTAAAGAAAGAAATGCTTTTTATCGGTAGTAGCCAAATCATTTTATAGGCAATTATTATTATATTCATATGACAGATACTTTGCTCCACTTAACACGCTTGCGGATACAATATAAGCAGAACGAAACTATTTGAAAATATCCTACAATCTAGAGAATCATTACGACATACAACGAGAGATAGACGCCAAAAAGGTACACTCCAATCCACCTTAATGGCTAAACTTCAAACAGAGCCGAAACTCGGGAAAGGAAAGCAAAATAGAAGAATCCGGATCTTATATGGGTTCAAACTACAAATATGTTGGGATTTAACAAGTGTGAATGGGAAAAGAAAAGAGAGAATATGAAAAGTGAGGGAACTACTTTGGAGGGAAAATGAAAAGTCATTTGCAAAGTACAAATGAAAAGTCATTTCTCTCATATCGGCAAAAGAAAGAGAAATTGTTGTCCTTATAGAAGGAAACACTTCCATTACTTCTTAAAGAGCTAAGAAGAATATGCCCCCTCGCACCGTCGTCGTCGCTCGCTCGGCTACGGATTCGGCTTTAATGATAAATATTTTGGAAAAAATTTATTTAATCAGTTTTTGTTAAATCAAATAAATCCTGTTAAAATTATCTCTTATAAATTTGCAGATAACGGTAACATTCCGAAAAGTTGTTACTCTTTCCGAAAAGTCGTTACTTTCCAAAAAGTCGTTATTTTCCTAACAAACACAATTTTCCGAAAAGTTATTATTTTTTCCAAAATACACAACTTTCTAGATATAATGGGTCTGAACAGATTTCACTCAACAGACATGTTCCTTGCTGAAAATGGCTATAAAAGGAAGTCAATTTTTGATTTTTTTTAAAACACTGAAAATATTTCTTTCACTGCATTTATTTTTCTCTCAAATAAAATCAAAGTGTCGATCGACTGAGTCTGTATAACTTGTTGTTGTTGTTCTAAAGTTCGTTGAAGTTAAAAAAGTTTGAGGTACCGCTATTTCTTTAACAAGTTTAATCCGTTTTATCTTGGGAGAAATTAATCCATAACCTTGGGTACAGTGAGGGGATTAAATTTCTTAAGGACACACAGTAGTTTCTGTGGACTCGGATTAGTTCTTGTATTTTAAATTTTTTCTGCTTCATCTTATTTCTGTTTCTGTTTATTAACCTTATAAATCAAGACTTGTTGTCAAAGATTTTAGACAAAAAGAAGGTCTTGATTATTTTGACACATACTCGCCAGTGACTAGGATTACATCAATTCGGATGTTAATTGCACTAGCTGCAGTATACGGTCTTGAAATTCATCAAATGGATGTGAAAACAGCCTTCTTAAATGGAGAGTTTGAAGAGGAAATTTACATAGAATAGCCTGAGGGTTTTGTAGTTCCTGGTAAAGAAAGAAAGTGTGCAAACTTATTAAGTCACTTTATGGGCTAAAACAAGCACCAAAACAATGGCATGCAAAGTTTGATCAAACCATGTTGTCAAATGGATTTAAGATCAATGATTGTGATAAATGTGTTTACATTAAAGATACTTCAAATCAGGAAGTTATTTTATGCCTATATGTAGATGATATGCTTATAATGAGCAAAGACATTGCTAATATAAATGCTACAAAGTCTATGCTTGCTAGTAAGTTTGATATGAAAGATTTAGGAGTTGCTGATGTGATATTAGGAATTAAAATTCTTAAAACTCCTAATGGTCTAGCATTGTCTCAAACTCATTATATTCAAAAGATACTTGCAAAATTCAAATTTTGTGAATTTTAAAAGGGCAAAGACTCCAATTGATGTAAGTCTTCATCTTGCAAAGAATAAAGGTGAAAGGCAATCTCAATTGGACTATGCTAGCGTATTGGGAAGCTTAATGTATGTCATGAATTGTACACGACAAGATATAGCTTGCGCTATCAGTAAACTGAGTCGATACACAAGTAATCCTAATCATAATCATTGGTTGGCAATGAAGAGAGTTTTGGGATACTTAGATGACACTCAAAACTATGTTTTACATTACAACAAATATCAAGCCGTTCTTGAAGGATATAGTGATGCAAATTGGATTACTGGGTCAACTGAAACAAAATCCACAAGTGAATACGTTTTTACTATTGGTGGAGGAGAAATATCTTGGAAATCATTCAAACAAACATGTATAGCTCGCTCTACAATGGAGTCTGAATTCATCGCTTTAGACAAGGCAGGTGAAGAAGATGAATGGCTCCGGAATTTCTTAGAAGATATTCCATTTTGGCCCAAACCAATAGCCCCTATATGCATACATTGTGATAGTCAAGCTGCAATAGGAAGGGCTGGAAGCATTATGTATAACGGCAAGTCTCATCACATAAGACGAAGACATAACT